AAGGAGGTCCAGCAAGTTTCTACAGGCCCACTTCATGGTGGGCCATGGTTTTTTGACTATAACTAATGAATGTGTACTTTACACAAGCACTTTGGTGAACTAGAGAGATGAAAGTATTCTCAGGATGTGTTCAAGGCTAAGCAAGTTTTAATTTTAAAAAGAAACGCAGTCCAGATGGCCTTTCCTCATCCTCCTCTCCTCTCTTTTTTATTTTTTGTTCCTTTGGTGGGGAGCTGGATATGGGGCATATTTCTGTGCAACATATGCATCATTCTGTGTTGACAAATGTGTTATGTCTACCCATAATTTTGTGACAGTTCCTCAGCACTGTCCCCCAATACCATGCTAGTCTTCGTAGTAAAATTCCTTGGTATTTGTGGGAGTGCTCTGTCTTTCTATGCCCCTAAAGTACTTTTAACCACTTTTCTCTGGAACCACTCCCACATTTGATTTCGTGTTAAAGGGTAACAGCAAAATGATGATTGTGGAGATGGATCTATTAGGTCTTGTTGGTCTCTTGGTCAAAATTGTTTTCAAAAAGGCCACAAAGAGGCCTATTACCTTGCTATCCATCCATACTTAATACCTATTTATCAGCCCTCTTAGGTCATATAAAAGTTGCACCTTTTGAACCAACTAATTGTATTTACTAGGGGAAAGGTGTGGACTACAGATTAGTATTATATTATTTTAATGGATTTAAAGTAATTTATAAGTATGCTGAGTGTAAATTTTTAAAAGACTATGTATTGTAAAAGGACATATCCTGTGAAATATATCATTTTACTGTTTAACAAAATAATTCTATAAAAAGAATGATTTATCTCACCCATAGAACTGATTACATTCCTGATGCAATCAACAGGCACTTTGTAATTTCCTTTTGGGTCTTTTTTTTTGGAGGTGGGGAGCAAGACATCATCTGTATAAAGTGCAGTTTGTGTCACTCAAAATATGCACTGTATGGCTACACAAAAGCAGCTTGATGAACAAATCACTCCATGGCTCATTAAAGAACAAAGCTTCCAGAAGCAGCAATACGTGTGGTTTGTTTTCTGACCATCTAGCTCCTACCCCAATTCGTTCCAACCCAACCCCAAGGAACAGAAATGAGTTTTGTTAGTTAAACTGATTTTTTTTTTTTTTAAGGAAAGAACTGAGCCCAAAATTGACAAAGTGCAGAGGTGGTAGTTATTGGAACTCAACTGAATTCAAGTGAAGGTGAGATTCAAGCTGTCAGTTTTCTGTAAAGGATGCTAGCTGCTAGCTGTCAAGACTTCATTTAATCAGTTTAGAGCTGGGTGGGCAGGGAAGGCAATAAATCTACATTTAGGATCCTCACCAAAAAGGCTGTGAACAAGTAGCAATGTCTGCTAATAGAGGGCCAAAGAATTCAAACCTAGATTAGCGTTTTTGTTCTGCCACTATACTGCATGACTGAGAAAGTCATTTGTCCTCTCTGGATGTTCGTTTTCCTATCTGGATATGAGTTCTCTTCCCCAGGTTTACTTCTCCGGATAACTTATACTAACTCCCAGGTCTCAGTGTAAAAGACAGTTCTGCTTGGAAACTTCCTCTTCCCCCTGGAACTGGGTTAGATGTCTTGTGTTCTCAATAGCTTCCAGTATTCGTGGCATCAAAAAACTGTTTGATGTAAGATTCCCAAGGCAAGAAATGTTTCTATCTTACTGTCTCTTAGATCCCCAGCACCTAACAAAAGGTGCCCGCATTTAGATATTGGATGAGAGGGTTGAATGAGACTGAGGTTCCCAAATGCCAAACCAAGTCTAAGGTGAAATGGAAAAAGAATTAATGTAGTGAATTTTTCCCTAACGCCAAATTTATTCTATGTTTTAAAATTCGGAGATCATCCTTCCCATTTCTTTTTACATTAAGTTTACATTTACATTTTTGCATTAAATTTACATTACATCAAAACAATAAAGATAGTGAATTGTTTCTTCAAGTTAACTGGCCAAAAAAAAACATAGAAATGCCATTTTTGGGCCGGCCCCGTGGCTTGGTGGTTAAGTGCGCACCCTCCACTGCTGGCAGCCCGGGTTCGGAGCCCGGGCGCGCACCAACGCGCCACTTCTCTGGCCATGCTGAGGCCGCGTCCCACATGCAGCAACTAGAAGGATGTGCAGCTATGACTTACAACTATGTACTGGGGCTTTGGGGGGAAAAATAAATAAAAATTATAAAAAAAAAAAAAATAAAAAAGAAATGCCATTTTTAAAACTTGCCCCTGTGATTACTGAATCTACAACAAACCTTCCCAATTAAGAAGAGAGCAGAAATGTGTAAGGAGATGCAAGTTATAAAGAGACCTGTGCTTTGATTTTTTAAAAATTGTTCTTTCTCCTAGATAGGGTAGCCGTATAGGGTATTAGAGCCAGGGACATAACCATTTTAGTAGATATAACATGTAATATCTGACTGTTGAATCTTGTAGGCATCTTGGACTCTTAGTCGAGGAGTGTGTCACTTCCTGGTTCTGTGTGGCCATTTATCCATTCATTCAATAAATATTTACTAAGCACCCACAGGCACTGTCCTAGGTGCTTGGAGTATATTAGTGAACAAAACAAATCTCCCTGCCCCTGTGGAGCTTGCATTCTAGTAGGGAAAATCAATGATGTCCACCAGTTGGAGACCAGTCATCCACAACATCTGGGTTCCACTATAAGGTTGTATTGATTAATTTGAATGGGTGCTTTTTGGCATTCTTGAGTCTTTTTCTGCCCTTCCTACTTTTAAATACTCCCTTGAGGATGGACGAGGATAAGTGACTCAACGAATCTGAAAACTGCAATTGAAAAGAAAGGCCCAGATAGGCCCACAGGAACTGCCTCTGTGTGCTTCATAACCAAATACATTTCTGGCATTGAGGGCAAAAAAAGAGCTTTCGTAGTATCCCCTCTCCTAGCAAGGGCCCTAAATGCAATGAAAGAGAGCTGTTACCCAGCTGATTTTCAGTGGGGCTGATTTACGCAAAAGGTAGAATAAATCCTGAGATCATTGAGAGCTGTATTGTATTAGGAAAACAGAAGCCACTCAGTATATTTGAGGTAAGAAGGACTTAATATAAGAATTAAGGGCTTAACAAACATTGGAAGAACTGGGGAAACAAAGGTCAGAGAAGCTCCCACAGAAGGTCGAGAAGCCAACACAGATCTCAGTCAAAAGTTCCTAAGTTCTCAAAAGCTTGCCTGGAAGCTACTGCAATTCTAAACAAGGTTGCTGTGAAATCTCCATCTTCCCACACATCTGGCTGCAACTGCCTGCACTGGATAATGCCTTCTCATCTACCTTCCAAATCTCGTGTGAGTGACTTTCTTCCATTAGCAAACCTGGGGGAAGGGGAAAGGGAACCTGGGAAATGTAGTTCCTGGCATCTCTACAATGAAGACAAGACCTTAGAAAAGGGGGTAGTATTGATGCAGGGTTAACAGCAGCTAATCCAATTTATGTACCTCCTCTAATTCTCCAAGACTTCCCCTGGAGATCCCAAACAATCTCCTTCCCAATGCAGAATTGCTGTGCTCACACACCCCAGACACCAGCCTGTCAACTTTAGCAGGCTGCCTTTGCAGTCTTATGTTCTCAAAGGCAAAACTGTAGGATAAATATGCAGGGCCTATATGGTCATATTGCAACCATGTTTCTTGCCAAAGTGCCTTTGCTCAGGCTTTCTATCTATAGGCCTTTAAACCTTATCAATAAAATTTTTGATAGGGAATTGGGTAGTATAATGGCATTGTAGACATTAAATGACCTGAATAACTGAGGCAAGTCTGATGCTTTTAGAAGATCAAGAGTCTTGAGTAGTTTGAGTACTTAAATGGGAAGAGCTTAAGCTGGGCAGTATTTGCCATACTCTTTCCTCTCTGGTTACCAGTTTAGCTATTGTCATTTCCAGAGCAGAGTGTTCTGAACCATCCTTCCTCCATCAAGGCAGGATATCTCTGTCAGCTAGGAGAATTCATACACAGGCCAAAGAGGAGGGAAACCCTAGGATTTCACAGATTCCTCACATGACCTTTTCCTGCTTGACTTCAAGCATCTCTTCTTTGAAGACAGAAAATACAACAGAACTGTTCACCTGATTCCAGGGGTGGAGAGAGCATAGGGTGGAGGCAGTGCCAGAATTAAGCAGAGGTAAGTAGAGTCACACCAAGATTTGAGTCCTATACAGCCTCAGTTTTTTCATTTATAAATGGAGATGATTCGTCCCTCCCCCCTAGTTAATCTGAGGGTTAATAGCAATGTACATTCAGTGTTCAGTTCACTGCCTGGTATATAAAGTGCCTAATATATGTTAACTTTTTTCATTATTATTATATTCTAGGTCCTCTGGGTCTGTCTTTAAAAAGGATGAGGTTTATCTGAGCTTCATCTTTCCATAAGGAATTAAGAAGTGATGGAGATTCCCCTTCACAAAAAGTGCCCGTAGCTGTTTTGTGTTGAGTTGGATGGTGCCCACCTTTGTTTATGGAGGGGTGAGGAAGGATAAGGAAGAGAAAGATTGTGGGAAGGTGGGATACCATCTGGAGAGAAGCTGGCTTGTTGAATCCTGTGGGAGATTTTTCAATGGGCTTGAATTCATTACACCTGAACTCTGACTTGGAGAGGAAACCAGATGGAACTCACTACCTTGTGCTCATTCCTTTAGTGTCCTCACAGGGAGAGCCTCGGCCACATATGTTTTCCTGTTTTTGTGTTTTCACTTTTTTATTGAGGTCTAACACAATAGAGGAAAGTGCACAAATCTTAAGTGCACAGCTCAATTAATTTTTATGAATGAATAAATTTGTGAAACCACCGCCCATATCAAAATAAAGAACATTTCTAGCATCCCAGAAGACTCCTTTGGGCCTCTTGCCAATCACCCCACCACCCACCCCAGACGTAATCACTATTCCAACTTCTATCACCTTTGGTTAGTCTTGCCTGTTCTTGAACTTTGTATAAGCAGAACTTGTGTCTGGCTTCTTTTGTTCAACTTTTATCTTTGTGAAATTTATCCATGTTGTCCCATGTATTGGTAGTTCATCCTTTTTTTACTGCTGTTTTCCATTATATGATATACCACAATTTATTAATCCATTCTACTGTCAATGTACAGTTTGGGGCTATTATGAATAAAGCTGCTATGAATAGTCTTATGATATGTTTTGGTGGGCATTTCTGCTAGGTACACATACCTACAAGGGAAATTGCTAGGTCACAAGGCAGGCAAATATTTAGCTTCAGGAGTTTGTTTTCCAAAGTGGTTGTATTCATTTTCCTTCCATCTTCATTAGTTTTTGAACATATCACAAAGGAGCTTCTCCATGGGAGTATTCCCTATGGTCTTGCGGAAAAAGAGGAGCTCAATGCGTTCAGAAGTGATAAACCTCAAAGACGGGAGGAGCAGGAGCAATTTCCCAAACCTGAACAGGAGAGAGGACTCCATCAGTTTTATTATCAGCTTCGGAGCCCGAGCCCTGGGGGCAGTGCCCTCCCAGAAAAGGCAGACGGGGAAGCAGAGGAGACATGCGAGGTAGCCAGAGCAAGTAAGGAGGAATTTTGAGGAAAGGCCCCATTCACTGGGGTTGCTATCACCTACCCCTGACTCATTGTGGCCCCCTCCAATTTGTTTAGTTGAGGAGCGTGATGAAACTAGTTATAAATATTATGTGTAAAGATTATAAAGTGAGAAGTTATTTATATTAATATATATGAATTTTATTAATCATATATATGATTATGATAATTATATGATTAACACTATACATATTTGAATAAGAATATAAATTCCCCTCTGTAAGCCACTTATGATTAGAGAGTAGCCATTAGTGAAAATGTTCTGAAGTTGAAGCATAGCTTTTGTGGCGGAGATACTCATCCAGAATAAAAGTAAATATAGTTTTAAATAAAAACCATTTGCCAAGGCTGGGGTCCCCAGTGCAGAGAAGGTGGGTGGTGAAGCCCCAAGAGAGACAGATGCGGGGGATCAGACCTTCCTTGGGTAGGAGGCCTGACAGCTGGGGTCAATGCCCAGCGTCATGGAGGCCACTCCAAAGTGGGGCAGTTCCATGCTCAACTTCCACCATGGAGGTCTATGGGACGCCTTCCGCCACCTCCTAGCTATCTGCTGAACTCGTTCTGCCAACCCAAGGGCTTTCTTTCTCTTGTGAGTGCCAAGTGAGTGGCACTGAGCATCATACACCCTCCCCTGTTTCTTCCCCTCTTCTGTTTTGTGATCTAAGCAGTGTCAGGAAGAAGTAACTATAAAGTCAGGTAGAAAAATTGTTTTTCAAACTGCAGGAGTTGATCCACTAGTGAGTCTGAAATTAAATTTATTGGATCACAACCAGCCTTTCTTTAAAAAACTAAAAAAGAAATAGAGTAAATTATACAAAATAAGGGCAAGTATTATTTGGTGGGACTTTGTTTCAATGTCTGTATGTGTATTGGGTTGTGATGGAAATTGTATTTCTTCTGGCTATTGCAGTTTTTAAAAACCGGAATACACTGACTCAGAGAACCCCAAATCACTCTCTTGACACTCAGTTCTGCCTGTAGTTGGTATTGAACTGCTATAGAAATGATGTAGGAATTCTTAATCAGAATTTTGAAATTTGACACAAAACCAATATGCCCGAACATCTCTGTGAGCTGATGCCACCAGAAACTTGGCCTAGGAGGGCTACTGGTGTCTGGTGTCTGTGATGACCATTCTTAGGGTGCTATGTCAAGGCTTAGGAACTGTTGTTCTCCCTAAGCTCATAAGGAGCAGAAATCTTTCTGTGCAACATGGTATATTCCCTGTATACTTTGACTCTTCTTAAAGGGAAATTACCTCTTATTGTGTTCATTTATCAGCTTAGAGGTGATTCAAGGATGCCCATGTTAGCTTACTTCTTCAGAGAGAACTGCTGGGAGCCCCAAGAAAATGCAGATAATATAGTCTAAAATAGCCAACAGATAACTGGAGGCCAAGTGGCCCAAACTTCCCGAGGCTCCATTGTATCTGCTGGTGCTGGGCCAAGCTGGGCAGTCCCAGAGCACTGGCTCCTGCCCCTACCCTCCCCCCAGCCACACTCTCAGCCTGCAGGTACTGTCCCCCAAACTCAGCCTGGGGCAGGCTATTGTCCATTCACGTGGCTTATGCAAGTGCATCCCTGTGAGATGTCCCTCTGCACCTCCAACGGACCTTGTTATGTTCCCTCAAAACTATCTTTTCCTCCTGACTTCCCTTTTTATTTCTTGACTACCTCTTCTCTCAAATAGCTCCTCTTCCCTTGTTCCTTACAACCACCCAAGTGCCAAATATGATCCATTTCAACTCCTGGAGGCTTTCACATCTCGCATCTCCCTTCCACTCCCTATAGCCACTCCCAAAGAGCAGAACTCCATGGACTCCCCTGGATGATGGTGGTACCTGCTTCCCTCCCTGGTTGTATACTCTGTACTCACTACCACGCCAATTTGCATAAAGTCCAGCTCTGTGTACAACATCCACCTGCTCAAAAACCTGCAGTAGCTCTCCTCTTCCTTCCAAATCAGATATGGCCTTTGTCTGGCATTCAAAGTCCTGAACAGGCTGGTCCCACAGTGCCATTCTGTCGTAATCTCCCACCTTCCCACTGGCAGCAATCTGTTGCATCTTCCAAACTGGGCTCCTGTCCTAAGAACACATGCATGTTTGCTTCTCTCTCTCTCTCTCTCTCTCCCCCTTTGTAAATGAAGATTTCTCTTCTTTTAGACGCTATCCTTCCTTCCAGGTCCAGCCCTGCCTCCACAAATTCCCTCTCAGTTCTGCTTTTCACCCCCCACTCCCAATGGGTCTCTGTCTCCTTCAGCTATATGCAACCTTCAATATCTGACTCGGGTGGTTCTCATCTTCTGTGTGGTCACTGCTGGGCATCCCTGGAAGGCAGCAAGTTTGTCTTATGCACATTTTGGTCCCCACTCCTGCAGCCTGGCACTTTGCCTGGCACACAGTACATGTTGGATATGTGCCAGTCGAACTGAGGCCTTTGTGCCGTCTAATCAGTGCGGGCCTGAGATGGTGTCAGAGAGGTGGGCAGGGCTGTGAAGAGGTGAAGGGATAGATGGGCAGGTAGACACGTGCTCAGGTTACCTCACAGGCTGGCTAGGGTGGTGGGCCTTGCTATGCTGGCTCAGCATCACTTGGGACTGGTCTTGCAAAGCCTCCACATGCTCAGGATCCTTTAGGCCCCGCGTTTCTGGAGAAAACAGAAGCAGCAGTGAGCTCCTCTCCCAGCCTGCCCTGCCCCCCTCACTGTCAGCAAGGGCCCTCAGGAGGGGTGAACCCAGCCCTGTACCTGTCTTCTTCTGCCCCCTAGGGAAAAAGGAGATATGCATATCTGGTTCTACGTGGGGAGGGAAAGTGAGAGGCAGAAGGAAGTCCCTGGAATTCCCATTCTTCGTCCCCAACCACTTTTCTCTAAGGCTTAGGCAAAGACTCAGCTACCTGGTTTGAAGAGGACCAGGGCCTTCATGCAGGCAAACTCTGTGGGGTCCACTGCCAATGCCCGGAACCGTGAGATGGTTTCCTGCAGGATGCGAGTTTCCGCACTGGCCAGTGCCAGCCGGCCCTGGGAGTTGCTGGCAGCAGAGGCCTCCTGTGGGGCCAGCAGTGGGCAGCTATCCAGAGGCAGAGACCACTGTATGGCTCCAAGAAGGAAGAGTTCACTCCATGCCTCTTCCAGCAAGATCACCTGTGCTCAGAGAGGGGGTGAGTGTGATGGCTGATATACAGCTCCTCTGGCTCAGCCTGGAAGATCTGCCACCTTCTCAGGTGCCCTAAGAAAGGAAGAGCTGATCCTGGATGCCCAGAACATTCTCCTGACCTCTGCCGGACATCAGCCGGGGGCCCAGAGCTCTCGAATTTGGCATCATCTGACCCAGCTGCCCAGGCTCCAAGACACTCTATGGGTTCCATCCAGAGCCGCTACTGGAACATTTAGGAAAGCCTAGAGCCCTGGGAAGTTGGGCAGCCTCAGGGATGCTCCCCCATGGGTATCCTAAGTTGAGTGTACTCAGCACACTTGGCCTGACTTCTGAGCTGCTCCATCCAAACTGCTGGCTAAGGGCTCAGACCCTCAGTCAGCCTCTTTTCCTGGGTTTATCTTGACAGGTCTGCTTGCCCATGAGAAGCCCAGGGGGGTGTCCTAGAGGTGAAGAGGTTGGACTGAAACTCAAGCCCTGAACTCAGAGGCATTTGTGCTCCAAGGGAGCCCAGAGTCATCCACTTGTGCTGTTCAGGGTGTGCAGACCACCCCGTCACATAGGGAGCATCTGTAGGACCTGAGGGTTTGTCTAGGAGGAAACAAGACCCAGTGAGCCATAGGCACTGCCTTCAAATCCCAGTCCCTATGTGTCCCTGGCCATCATTGTCCCCTGGGTACGCACCCCAACCATCCTCTCTGCCCAGAGATGGGAGCACCCTCAACAGTCACGTCCCTGAGACATGTACCCCGACCATCACTGACTCAGGGCCATGTGCATCCCCAACCATCACCATCCCCAAGCGGCGTGCTCCTCTAATTGTCACCTGCACGGGGCTGTATGTGTCCCCAACCCGGCTGACTCACGTGGGCCGCCTGACAGGTGTACCTGATCCCTGAAGGGCAGGTTAGAGAACACGGGCAGGTTCTTGGCCCACTTGACAGCCATGAAAAGCAGGCGAGCGGAAGTCTCATGGATGTTGTCCAGGCCACAGGGGGAGGAGGAGGAGTATGGGGACGAGGGGAACTCGGGGTCATTGCTGGTGACATCGATATTCTCATCAGCTGTTGGAGGAGAAGGTTGTGACATCAGCCCCTGCTCTGAGGCAGGGGGTGCTCAGGGGCTCAGGTATGGGGATAAAGGCTGGGTGCCGCAGCCCCACTGTACCCTGGAAACTCAGCTCTCCTTCCACTTACCATCCTCTGGCTCCAGCTTAGCACAGGTTTCGGCCGTTATAAGGCTGGCCATGAAGTGGTGATGCCCCGGAGGTGTAAGGGCCCCAGGTCCCAGGGCTCTGGCTGCAGAAACAGGCGTGGGGCCCCGCGGGCTGGGCCCTGCCGGGGCCGGGGGAGCCACCAGGGGCTCCAGCCGGGGCCCTGTGTCTGACTCCATGCTGTCCAGGCAGACCTGGGCCATGCTTCGTGGCTGGCGCTCATTCTGCACCGCTGGGGAGGCAGGAAGGGTTAGGACACCCCACCAGTCATGCACCCCCATCTCTTCTGTCACGGCTCTTTGGGTTGGCTCCCCGACTCACCGTCCTGGTTCATGCCTGCCTGCAAGCACTTCTTCAGCCGGCAGGCCTGGCACTGGTTCCGGTGGGCCTTGTCCACCGGGCACATCCCTGCCCCCACCTGGCATCTGCAGGAGGAGGGGAGCCCCAGGTGTCAGTGTCCTGCCCAGGCCCTGGACCGGGGGTTTTGAACATGTTTGCTCTGGTCCCTTCTCCCCTGAACAACCTCCACCCCTCCCAGGGACCGCAGGGGCAGGAGGCCGGCAGGCTCTTCCAGGCCGCGGTCTCACCCTCCCTCACGTGTAGATGAGCCGCCGCCTCACGCTCCTCTTGAAGAAGCCGCTGCAGCCATTGCAGGCGTAAATGCCATAGTGCTTCCCGCTGCTGCTGTCTCCACACACGCGGCATTGGAGTGAGGGTCCCACGCCTGAGGGGTAGGGGCTGAGTCAGGGCTGGGCCAGGACAGGGCCACACACCCCCTCCCACCTCCTCAGGGACCCCCCTCCACTCCTCGTTCCCTTTCCCCGTTCTCAAGTTCCTGCCCAAGCACATTTAATCACACCCGTGTCTCTCCCATCTGGAAAAGTGTCTCCCTTATGCACCTCCCCACACCCCACCCAGGTTCTGCCCTCTCGCCTCCCTCTATGGTCAATTTTCAACAAGACTAGACTCTCTACCTTCACTTCCCCACCTCCCATTTCCGTTGTGCGGGTGGCTTCAGGCTCCATCATCCTACAAAAACATTCTTGACAACGCCACTAGGGACCTCTGCTGCCAAACCCAAGGGTGCTTCTCTCTTCTTTCCTTCCCCATCAGCTCAGCTGTCCTATCTGACCCCCATGTTTCTAGGATTCTGGGTTTGCCAGCAGGTTCCCTCACACTTGCCCCTAGCCCTTGGGGCTGTGTCTGAGTTGCTCTGGATCTTTTCATGGTCCCTGCAAACCTCTGGCCCACAGTCTATTCCCCAAGGGCCCAGACCTTACCTCTAGGAAAGGCATACCTGTCGGCTCCTCCCCCAGGCCCCATCTGCCTGGAGACTCCTTCCTAGAGGCGGCCACAGCCACTGGCACAGCTGTAGCCATGTTGGAACTCATGGGTGCTGTCGGCCTAGTCCTGGCTGGTCCCAGGGCAGCTTCTGCCTTCCTGTCTGAGGGTGGCCTCCGGATCGCTGAGCCGGGCCCAGCCTCTGCCTCCCTCTCTCTATGTCTCTCTGTGCCCCTGTCTCTCTTCTATTTCTGCTTCTCCCTCTCCCTGGCCCTTTCAGTCTCCCTCTGTCTATGTCTCTCTCCTCTGTCTCTCCTCTCTGTCCACCTGCCTCTGGTCCCCTCTGTCTGAACTCAGGAGCTGCCCCAACTTCCCCTCACAGTAGCGGCTCTGGCTCGAGGAGATTTCTCCCAGGGCAGCACTGGACGCAGCTTATGATCCTCTTAATCTTTACTGTCTCCACAGGGGATCAACTAGCCACACCTGCAGCATTACCAAGGTGCCCCCCAGGAGCCGGTCAGTCCTGCCCCCACACCAGCCCCTGGCTGCTCAGTGAATGTCCCCAAGTCCCTTCTGCCCTGTGCCTTCAAGCAGTTTGCCACTCAATGCCAAGTCTTGAAGGGAGGTATAGACTCCACTTCCCTTGGACTTTAATCTTTCAAGCTGCTGGGCATGCGTCTGGGGACAAATGTGTGTGGCTGAGGTGTGTGTGCATCTGTGAGTGACTCTGCGCATGTGATGCTCACTGTGGGTCCTGGGTAGATAGGTCCAGCTCTCCACCCTGGTAGTTCTTACCCAATCCCTTGATAAGGGACTGCTTAGGGCCCAGAATTTGAGGGTCCTGGCCCCCCCGGAAGGCTAGCGTTCCCCAGATGCCTGGCACAGAGGCAGCTCCCATCACATGTGGGAATGGGCACAATGCAGGGTCTGAGGCTGGCCTGGAGGTGGTGAGGCCTGGGGCCCAATGTGGACGGTCTCCTTCAGGCCTGTGAGGTGGCAAAAGAGGAGCTGGCAGGTGTTTTTCTCACCCACCTGGGGAGCTGGGCCTGCAGGACAGGAGGGCGTGAGCACACAGGCCTGGAGCATGCCTATGGGATCTCAGGCAGCCTCCCCTCCTTTCCATGACTTGGCCTCACAGTCCTAGGCAGGATGGTCCCTCAGCTGTCCCCAGACCCAGTCTTCCCAGCTCGAGTCCAGTGATGGAACGGGAGGAGGCAGAAGGAGGAGTCTGTGCCTCCTTGGACCAAGCCCTAGGCCCCAGAAGGAAGGTAGGGAGAGCTGAGACAAACCCAAGTTCAAATCCCTGCTCCCTCACAGGCCAGCCATGAGTCCCTGAGCAAGTGATTTAACCTGTCTGAGCTTCCATTTCCTTGTCTGTAAAAAGGGAGGACGAAAGTACCTGTCTTGTAGTGTAGTCGGGAAACTCAGTAAGATAATTCTCAAAGTGTATCAGTGACTGGTACTTCAAGCATAATAAATGAAGGACTGTTATTATTATTACTTCCCAGGGTTACTGAGAAAATCACAGAGCAATCTTCAGTAAATAGCCTTTCCTTTCTCTTCTTCTCTGCTCCCCCAACCACTCCCCCCCATGCCGGGGATGGAGCAGAGAGCCCCATGTTGGTCTGGAGGGGACCACTTATCCTCAGCAGACCTGGGCTCACCTCTGGGGGTAGCCTGGGAGCAGGGGTTGGCTCCCCCTTAGAGCCCAAGGTGGAGGGGGGACAGGGTGAAGCTTCTAGAGGGATCATGGAGTTAAGGGGACAGAGGGGTAGGGCAGGGCTCTTATATAAGTGGGGTTAACTCTCACTGTGACAGGGAAGCACTATTGGGGATTTGGAACGCCAGCTTGAGGGGCTTTGCAGGGTAATCCTCTTCCCAGGGCCTCAGAAGATCGAGGCCACTGGACTGAGGCCCCTTACCTGACCTCCTCTGACTCTGTCCTCACCTGAAAGCCCCTCCCGACAGGCAGCCCCTCAGGACCCTCCACTGCAAGGTCTCCAGCTCCACCTAACCTCCAAAGCCAAGGGCATCTTCCTTAAACTTGACTGACTGGTCCCTCCTTCCCTAAGCTTCTCTCTCCCACTTCTTCTGGAACGTGTCTTTACCATCTTCCTCCCCTCTCTGAACCGTCATCCCCTCAGGGTGCCCCAGAGGTCACCCCAGCAGACTCTCCCCCCTTGGACAAATTCACGGCTTCCATGACCACTTCACAGCAGACTCCTGCCTGGGTCTCTGCCCTGAGCTTCCACCCGCAGATCCATCTGGAGTTCTGGTGTAGAGACCTACTCCACACGCCCCAACCAACCCAGCCCCAACTTGTCTGCATAGAGATGGTCACTGAAGCCCAGGGTTGAGGGACAGCCTGGCACACATGTGTGTGGGGAGGAAAGTCCCTAAAGCTCAGCTGGGGGCCTCTAATCCTGGATGCCTGGGCTGAGGAAGAGCCACTGGCAAAGGAACTGAGAGGGAAAATCAGGACAGCGTGGGCCATGGGAGAAAGGGAAGGGGAGGATTCAAGGATGGAGGTGTCAACCAGGTCGAGTGTCCTATGAGGTCATTTGTATCACCAATAAAAGGAATGAGACAGCAAACAAGAAGAGTGTTTGCACCAACACTTGCAATATCATATCCACACCTCACAACAGCTCTATAAAGGAGTGGTCATTATTAGGTTCAATTCGCACATGAAGAAACTGAGTCTCAGAGAGGCTAAACAATTTGCTTCAGGCCACATAGCTACAGCATGGTGGAGGAGGCTGGGGGTGGAGACGGGGGTTTCAAACTTAGGTCTGATCCCCAGACTCCTGCTTTCCACTGTGGTGATCCAAGAAGAGTCTGAGCATTCTCTTTGGCTTTAGCAGCAGGAGGTAGCTGGTGCCCTTGGCAAGAGTTGTTCCAAAGGAGAGGGAGAGCGGAGGCCCTGGGTGGGGGAGAGGCTCACCGGAAGCAGAGCGCTTGTCTGAGAAGGGAAGGAGACTGGGCTAAGGGGTTTGTAAAAAACATTAAGGAAATATTTTTTTCTTTTTTCTGTCAAGGGAGATACTTAAAGAAAAATATTTAAGAAGAGAAGTTTCTTTTAAAATGGTAGACACAGAGGAGAAAGAGCCAGGGGGAGAGAGGGTAAAGCTGGAGGTGGTGTGTAAATTGAATACCTGATCCTAAGCAAGCCGGAGGGGGTGGCAGAGCACAGGAGAGGGACAGATTTGGCCTGGAGAGGGGTCACCTGGAGGGAATGAGAGAAACCAGGGCTTAAGGGGCAGGCTCGGGCAGCACACCTCCTCTTAGATCCTGGTTTTATATCTTCCTGGCTGTGTGAGCTTAGGCAAGTTATTCCACCTCTCTGTGTTTCCGTTTCATCATCTCTAAAATAGAAGACTAGTGCCCCCTCCGGGGTTGTGGTGGGATTAAAGGAGATGACACTAAAGGGGTTAGTGCAGTCCAAGGTGAGAGGAGGAGGCAGGTGGAAGGGGGCCGGGGGTGAGAGGGCAGAGGTCGCGGGTGACTACCTTGGAGAGGGTAAGGTCTGAAGCAGCCGCTGTGGGGTAGGGACTCAGGGAGGGACTTGGGGGGAAGCTCTGAGGCCCAGCTGAGGTTAAAGACAGTGACTTTACATGGGACAGTCTGGGCAGATAGAGGATCATCCCTGAGGCCCTCGGCAGGGTGGCGAATACTGGGAGAAGGTAGACACCAGGACTGCTCCGTGGCTGTGGTTCCTCCCAGCAAGTGCACGGGAAGGAACTCAGGGAAGGAGATGAAGACATCAGGAAAGGAACTCTCAAGGTAAGAGCTGAGTGGGGAAGCAGAGAAGGAGGGGACTCGTTTTCCCTGGCTCATCTTTTCCCTGCTGTTCTCCATGTGAGCTGCCCTGCCACCTCCTGCTCTATCTGCCCAATCCCCTCCCATCCTTCAAGGCCTGTTCAAGGATCACCTCCACCGGGCTGTCTGTCCTGACTCCTCAGTCTACCTGGTCTCCTTCCAGAGGTGTAAGAAGTCCATTTTTAACTTGTCCTTAGTTCCCTGATATTCTATAGTGGGTATGTACGTATTAGGGCAGCAAAAATAAATCCATTGGAATAAAAGACACCAGCAGTGTTTGATTTGCCTGTTCTCACTCCATTTGTTTTGACTTTTATTGTGTTGACTCCTCACATCATTTTGATCCCAGCCAAGCTCCTCTCTCACCATGGTCCTCGGCTCTTTGGCAGGTCAGGCCCAGCCGGAGCCGTGACTGTGCTGGGGGAAAGGACAACAGCCTAGCAGGATGGGGGCAGGGGGGTCTCTCTCGATCTGTGACCAGCTGCTGGGGCAGACGCCAAAGGATTACTCAGCCCAAAGCCTCGAATCTGCTGACGAAGCTGCCAGAGTCCACCTTATCACTAATACAATTATTCCCCCAGGGGATAGGTCAGCAACTTCCTTGTGATTCCCTGGAGGTCTGGGGCAGGGTAGGGGGGGTAGGGGGATGGGGCGGGCTGGGAAGTGGGTGCATGATAAAGGCTGCGGAACTGACTTCCCTCGGGACCCTAAGACCCGGGCAGGTAAGGCCCCCTGCCCCAGCCTGTCTAGAGCCTGTCATACCCTGTGTCACTAGGTCCCAGGCCTGAGAGCTGACCTGGGTTCTGCTCTCAGAAGAGTGGCTCTTGGGATGACCCAGCAGCCACAGGCTTCCGGTTTGGGGCAAGCCTCATTCACAGCATTCGTTCCTGGGGACATGTCTTCTGGGATTTCTTAAAAATTCTCTCCCTGCCCCACCCAAGGGTCTTCGCTGTCTCTGCGCAACGGTAGCTAGCAGTGAGGGCGTGGGCTCTGGAGCTCAGGACCCAGCAATTCCCCTTCCAGGAAACTATTCCGTGGAAAATTTCACAAAGATTTCATTATATGGCTGTTCCCTGCAGTAATTTTAGTAAAACACCCATCTGTAGACAACTGGCTAAATAAAGTATCCACCCCTACAGTGGAATGCTATGCAGGCACTGCAGATGGTGGTGTTGCTGAATTCATTTACATGGAAATGTGCCCACCGTGTTTCAACTTCAAAGCCAGCTACAAAACAGCACATGCAGTTTGATTTTATGTGTCTCAGGGAAATTTCTGGCCAAAGACAACGGGACTCCTTTCTCTTCCGCAAGACCTAAATGA